TCACGCGATATCCTGTGCTCGCTGCCACTTTTCTATTACATTTTCCTGTGTATTTCACCGTAACCCTTCATTCGATTCTTTAATCACTTGAATCACCTTCTAGCGACTCTTTTTAATACGCAAATCATGTACGTTTTACTATAACGATATTCCACGGATTCTCGTGATAAATTCTCTCGTAACACGTCGTGCTGCGCGCACGGAACACCTCCAAGAGCGAACAAAGAAAAAACAAATAAAATAAATCATTCGAAAGTAAGCCAAAGTATCCTTTCTCAAACTTTCTCGATAATCGTGCCACACTCGCGCCATTAATCTCGCGAGGGCGCCAAGGGGAGAAGAAGCTTCTGAATTTTAATGTGACCAAAATCGCGTTCGCAATTGATCTGCTCGTTCGACCGATATTTCGCGGGCTTCCGGATACGAGGAGTAATGTCGGTCGCGTGTTTCCGGCCAGTGACATTCCGCGAAACGGAGTTTATTACGGCGGCGTTCCGGCGAGCCAAAAGCCGGGAAGAACGGCGACGGATCTCGTGCGGAGCGGGCGAGTCCCGCAGGTTTAACCGCAAACGCGAAGTTAAGCTCGTAGAAATCAGCAGAAGCTGACGGGATAATTACGAGAGACAGGGAGAAAGCTGGGGGAGAAGATTCTAAAGAACTGCGCCAACAGCGCCCAGCTATTTCCCCTAATCACGGGGAGAACGCAGCTCCTCGCAGAGATTCTTGCTGCTCCAGCTCGTTCCGAACTCTTGACTCCGTAGTTCGCGGCGAAGTGTTTCTGGTTTGCAGTCGTTGCTGACAATTTTCGTTTCGTTTCAGAGGAATTTCATCGACAACTGATTGGAATACCGTAGAATTTGATTTAAACGAACCTCTCGGAGAAGAAGGCGGTTTATATAAGTGGATTGACGTATAAAGATAATTCAGTTAGAAGTTTGATTAGAGTTCGAATAATTGAGTACTATTGATTTTTGTTTCGTATAAACGGAGTTCTACTGTGCAGGGAACTTTCTTATAATATGACTTGATAAGATGATTCGTATAACACGGTGCAAAAGCTATAATAATTCTATAAGATATTCTTGTAACAGTTTCTATGTAGCAAGCTAATAAACTTGGACGATACGTATGCAATATTAATGTTTCCTTTTCTTCTGTACAAGCCGCAATCAGGTGTTCTTAGAATATGAAGGAGGTTTGATGGTACCGAGTCTCGCTCTTTAATTAAAAAAATCTGCAACATATTGATAACTAGTAAAATTATACCGATAAGTACCAGAGTCAATTATGTTCGCCACATAATATCGGCAATTTTTCAGGCACAGATTAAAAAAAGTGTAATGGCAGTTTCAAATACTGTGTTTCAAGACGATCATTATAATGACTCGTTTAACTACCTCCTCGCGAGCTACGCATTCCGAGTACGCACTTACGAGAAGTACATATTAAAATGAAACGAGAATAAAGAGACGGGGGTTCTCTGTATACGCGGAGAAGGGTAACTAAGGTACCTAAAACGTCGAATAAGAATGTTAAGGAGCATCATTAAAACGTCCAATAAGAGTTCACGTTCGCTTCCACGATGAGAGGTAGAAAATTTCGATCAGTTCGCTGTAACGTTGCCCATAACAATATAACTCGAACAGAAACCATCGGATCGACGTGGAATCAATAACGCTCTTAAAATCACGAGGTTGAAGAACGTTGATCGTTATTATTTCGCTGCGGATACGAGATTACGTTTCCAAAGAGATTCATTGACACGGGAATTAAACGCGAACTTATTAACGAAATTATTCGGTCGCCGCTGTTGGAAATTGATAATCATCCGCAGCCTTTCGATTATCACGGGGATAAGGTCACGTTCCGAATTTCTGCAGAGGATTTCGCCCGACCAATTTCCATCTTGCAAATAACTCCTCCGAAATCAGTTTCATATGTCCGTGTCTTCGAGAAAATCACGGCCGATATTGAACGCCCCACCTGCTGCAAACACGAGCAATAAAACGAGCAGACGTTTCGGCGAAGATTACGATACAGAACACGATCCCCTAGTCCCATAATCCGCGCCACGAATTACTGGGGACTTAACTATCCCCGTTACGACTAGACACGCGGTCCCGTTCCTGTCCCTGCGCGCCGTGGACCGTCGTTTCTCGCCGGTTCGCGGCTTCCGGCGCCGCAGGAAGTATATGCCCGCATCAATTTCCTTTCCGTTTGACGCGACGACCATCGAACTGCTCGCCGATCCTCCTGCGCCCGGATAAAACAGGAGTAGTTTCGTAGTTCTAATTTAGCGCAGGTGTTGCCCAAGGAATAGAATTTCCGATGATTAATTCGCATCAGAAGTAGCTCTCGGATCTACCTCGCCAGAGATCCTATTTCTCGGTCCCTAATTATTTCTGCTAAAATATATCTTCCATGTATCAACGATCTGTAGTAAAATTCGAAGGTATTTACTTTCATTGTACCCCTATTCTATTCGTATCTATTAAAATATCCGTTCCACTGATATTTCCATCGATAGAATCATTTTATTGCCCGGCACGCGTGCAGTAAACCGTAAACCCCGCAGCATTCACCGTAAGACAAAACAAGCAACCATAGCGACGGTGGATATCACGCGCGGCGTAGGACGGAAAAAAACCATTTGATTGAATTCGGTAAAATGGCCAATCGAGAACTGTCACGGCCAGCGGAGCGGCGATCGAAGATAGTTTAATTACTGCGGCCTGTTGTTTCGTCAGCGTCGGAAACGTGACCATTCTCTGTTATGCCCGCCACGGTTTTTACATGTTGGCACGTCCCGCGAAAAATATCCGGCAGCGATACGTAGGGCCCGGCGCGACACTGCGCCCGGTGGATGGTCCGCAGCGAGCGTATCGATTCGCCGATATCGGGTTATCAATTATCCCGACCGCGTATCGCTCTAGCCAAAACTCGCGATATCCGAGGGCCTCGAATAATTCATCGTCGCGTTTAAATGTTCACGCGGATTCGATCCCCGTTCGCCTGTCCCCTCTTTTGTGTCGCTGTACAGGCTCCACGGAGAAATTATCCACGGCTACCTTACGCCAGACACTCCTTCCGATCGATATTTAATTATATCTCCTGGCAGAAATGTGCGAGGCTGCTCGCGGCGCTATAAAATTGGACCCAAGGAACGTGGCCAGCGCTGAATAGTCTGTTTGATCATTTTTATAGCTTGACAGTAGGGACTCTCGGGAATTAAAAGTATGATAAATAGAGGACTGCGTTTCAGGATCGATGAGAGTAATCGCTTCCTGTGATCTTTATTCCCGGGGGAGAGAGGTCTAACAAAGGGATGACGAAATCCGAAGCGAAAGAGGAAATCTCGGCAAACATAAATTAGTCAAGGAACTCCTTTTAAGTTGAGCAGGTCGCTGGGAGAATCTCCCAAATAATGTTCGAGGATTTATAACGACTACCCCCAGGGACGTAATAATTTTCATTAATTCAGCTCGGAGGGATGGCGTCGCGTCGTTGCGCCGAACTGTTTGTCAGCGATGAGTAAATACTCTTGAGCAGGGGCCACGGATGAATCTCGGGTTCCCTGGAAAAAACTATCGCATTACGCATGCCGTATGTTTCTCCTATACCTTTGTAATCCCTCCCATCTACGCGAACGGCGTGTTTACTTTACTCGGTATTCCTCTGTCTCCAAGATGGAATTTCAAACAGCAGGGAAGAATTGTTGTTTCTAACGAATATACTCTGAGAGTGAAAAAATGAGATATGCATATTCTGTGTAATTCAGAATTCAATTTTTAATTTCCTTGCATCGGGTAACCACGATTTCAAAGGAAGAGAACAAATATTTTCCGAATCGTACAATATTAATTAAAATATTCATATCCTTTTCACCGAATTTCATTCAATCGTCCCAAACAAACTACGGATTCTTTCTATTATCTCTATCGCTTGCGTCAAGCGCAATTTCTTAATTTACGCCAAAGCAAAAAGGGCTACGCGTTAAATCCCGAGGTTAAACGTTAGACATTTCGAATGACAAAGTTATCAAGTAGTAACCCTGCGGAGCGTCATTCCCAGACTCGTCCCAAGACGGCCGTCGAGAAAATATGCGCGGAGTCAGTTTCGTAAATGAGACGGTTCGGCGGGGAGAAGTTCGATCGAATAGACAGAAGGTGCCGAGCCTTATCGTCGCGGGAATGTTCCCGCGTTAGAGGAATAAGTTTCCCCCGGGCAACGTGCCCGTCCGAGATTCCCGTCGGCCCTTTGCCTTTACGATCGGGAAAGGGCGAACCCGGTCAGCCTCGACGATTGCGCGAGATCGTACGTGCGATATCCGTACATGAAAAGCCAGCGGGTATTCCGTGGCAGCAACAGGAAGAAGGTGGCGGGTGCGCGGGATAAAGGTAACGGCCGCGGTAAGTGGGATAAAAGAAAAGGGGGTGCGATCGTCGACGGCAGACTGCGCGGGGAAACTCATAGCGGCGAGAAATGTTTCCAGATATTGCGTTACGGAGCTCGAGACTGTGCCGTACTTCGCCCGCGTGCACTCCTCGCGTTTCCGTTTCGCGAACGCCCCGGATTGGAATCATTCCGTTCTACCTTGCTTCTCTGCTATGCACTCCGACGACGAAAGGAATAATTCGATTTTCAATATTTGGTCACCTTTGACCAATAGAATAGAGAAGTGAGTCTCGTAGAGAAATGAACACGGTGATTGCCTGAAATTATTGATTAATTTCAATGAATACGTAAGCTTAACCTGTAACAGAGATTTTTGAAGATAATTGTTTCGCAATTGACTTGATTATAACACTTTATGTCCAGGTGTTCTTGATAAGTGAGTATTCTTAATGATTGTGTGATCTGTATGTTACAATGTTTCGCGATTTATAAAACTCATCGATTGTTAGTGGTTTACAGTTTGAAGACCTGTGATCCTAAATTCACGCGTGAAAAGTATGAAATAGAATGTTCAACTGACGAATAAATTAATTCTCGTGTTTCAGGTGACAGTGAGAGACGACGGCAGACCATCCCTGGCATCGACGACTCGCGTGGTGATCTCGGTGGCCGACATAAACGACCACGGACCGGAATTCGAACAAAAGTTCTACACCGTTCAGATCCCAGCCTCTCCGTCGACCGACAAACCCTTGTTCCAGGTACGTATTCCCCGTATCGGAGCCTTCTCCGACGATCTATCCCCCGATATTCGTAATTCTATCCGACCTTCTAGTTGATTTGGGACATGGCATCGCACTTTCTCCGACCCCTCGATGTAAATCGAGAAACGGGGCAGAAACCTCGCTGCCCCGTTTCCTTTCTCCTACTTTGTCTCTCTGTACAAACCATGTAGAAGCATCCCTCGTATCGTGCTGTATATATTATCTGTTCACCCGTCGAGAAAAACCACGTCCCGCGAGAGGAATACTCGTCCAGATGTACGTATGCCAGAGAACGGGACGCGCGTGAGCCGAGAGCTAATCGATCTCGAGACTCCGGAACCGAGCTATCTGTTCCGGGCTAACTCCGGGAAATTCCGAGACAGCCGATTCGGTATTTTGTGCGTCGCGTTCCGTGCTTCCTGTGCCGTCTACCGTTGCATATCGATTATTTTTGGCTCGCGCACTCCTTACAAACCGGTCGCTGGTTTGTTGGAACGGATCGCTGGTGAATCAAAGTTTCCATGTAATTGTATTTACGGATTACTTGTGTATAAGATAATTATCTGTGACAGTTAATTATATTTAAGCTCCCATAGAATTGTATACTCAAAATCTGAATCTTTCTAAAAATGTTCATTTCGATCTCGGATCTTCAATTTGAATCGATTATTCGAGAAACCAGTGGCATGCGTTCCAAACGAACAATCGGCCAGCATCATCACCCCACTCTTCGAGCGCCTCAGCACGCGCCATTTTGACGGGACGGAAGCCTCGAACCTCACGCCTATCCAGTAAAAGATAGTGGAAACTAGTGCAGCTAGCGATAGTTCGATGCAAGAGTCGACCCAACCCCGATTGCTTGAGGTCCGTCTTAATATTCGACATGGCGAAGCGAGGAAAAACGAGCCAGAAAGTGCGGATTGCTTGCGATAATCCTCCCCGCTTTGTAATGTAAAGCATTATTCGGAGAGAGTTGAGAAGTTGGCAATTTGGTTTATAATAAATTCGAACTCATCGTGAAAATAGAATACGCCCTTAGTACTACGCGCTTGGATGCTGTTGAAACGTTGGTAGTGCTCGTAAAGCTGGCAAGGAATAAGATAATGAACGTAGCAGGCGAACGGTATTAACGGGGCTGGTCTCGTTAATCCGACGTTAACACCCTGGAATATTTCATATAATTCCTCGCCGGGGTCGGGTTTCGTCGGGGTCAGATTCGATTTCACCAAATATCGCGTTACGACCGCTCGTTTCCGTAACTTGGATCGCCATTGTGCGTGTGCGGTAGCTCGTGCGATCGCCCGATCTTCGCCCGCGTCTTTTATCCGGGACGGGAAAAATTATACGCTCCCGGGAGTCCGTTCGATATCGTCGAAGATATCCCTTGAGAATGAAGATAAAAAGCTGGGGAAGAATAGAAAACGGTCGGGTAAAGCCTACGGTCCAGACTGAGAGATTGTCCGCAGACGCATCGTGGACGCGTGAGAGACAAAACACTAGACTTAAAGCTACCTCTAAATAAATTCTTGATTCATTGTAATGTAATCTCCATTCCAATGGAAAATAAAACACGTTTGAAAATGTATCCAAATACTGTTCCAACACTATTGATTTCTCACTGTCTTCACAAGTCAAAGTGACGAACTCTCAAATTTCAGTATTAAAACACTTCAGATCTTCTCGTGCGTAATTTAATGTCTCTCAGTCTGTACTAGGCATAAAAGCTAAACACAGTAAGACGGGAATGGGGGCAGAGCACAGGTCAAGAAGTATAATCAAAGCAGGAGTCGTTTGGTTGGTTAAATCGACGGGGACGATTCAAGCTTCGACGATCTGTTGTAATTTCGATGGACGGGTCTCGCGACGGCCGGTGAGCCTTCGTCGTCGCGGGATCAGATCCGCGGCGGTCTGTATCCGTCCGCGGAAATCGACTGGTCGAAGCCTAGTTGCACTTCGAAACGAGCCGGGAGCAATGGCAGGAACGATGAGAACTAGCCGGGAACAGTGGCGAAAGTTAAAAGCCTTCCTTCTCTCGTTCTCGACAGAAATCGAGGAACCGTTCGCGGGAGTTCGACCTTTCGATCGATACGTTACTAGAGAATGGAACTTGGGAGACATTTAGCCCCGACACCTTGTCAGGAGATCGTATCTTCAGGGTAAGAACACGCTGGCACGTAAACCGAGCGGCCGCCCAGCGGCGCAGGAGCATAATTTCTTAAAATAAGTAAATGCGGAAATGGTCTCGGCTAGTTTTGCCGCGCGTGCTCTCTTTGCATTGATTTATGGCCGCTTTTGTGTATGTACATATGTATATATGTATACGTACCATACATATATATATGTGTGTGTATGAGATCGACTGTTCGTTACAGTTATGATACCGCAACTTTCATGCAACCCATGCTGACCATTTCATAGGACCGCCATTGCATTCCTGTTATTTGATCGATCGTCTGTTTCTCCTGCCCGATGCAACCCCTTTTTTCGAATTGTTTAGTCTGCGTACGAGGCGACTCCGAGTTTAGTCTGCTGGATTAAACATAATAGAAATTCAACGTTCATTCGGTGATGTTAATTAAATACGAGACAGTGCTATTTGAAATTTACTAAACACTCTCTTGGACTCGCATCGTACCCGATCCCTTGGCTGTATTTTCGTACTACCCTGTGTATGTGTTCCTCCCGATCTCTCCGCGGCGTTCTGCCGATTTTGCTCGTCTCTATGTGTACACGTTATGTTTCTTGAATGTTTGCCTTTGTCTTGTACGGGGCTGCCGCCTGATCATTTTTCCGTTCTCTCTTCGTCACTAATAAATAAGGAATGCGACGTCGGGGCGCGTTCTCGCCCGACGGAAAGCATGACGCAGCCGCCGGAGGAATGGGGAATAAGAGAACTCGTGGCCAGTTCGACGTTTTCCTATCGAATGCTGATTAACTCGTGTTAGGTCATCCCATTTTTCGCACATACTCGAATCTATGTCTCTTTCTTAAATATCAATCGATCGCGACCACTTTTCTGCTTCTCTAAAATTCTACGCTGTCTTCACTCTGAATTTTGCATCTCTGACGCCGCAAAATCTCGAAGGATCCTTTATGACAGCGTTGACGGCGTTTCTATCTCCTCCATCCGCTAGCTGACAAGAACATGGACTATTCATAATCGTTGAACGCTTTGAATAATGAACGCTATTGGACAGGGATTTGACAGTTCAGAACTTAATGTAGATTACCCGGACACCTCGGTTGACTGAAACATCGATCAAACATGACGCTGTCTATGGGATGACCTAATGATTCACTAATCAAGGAGTATCAAGGGAACCGTCTAACAGCACGAGAATAATGGGAGTCAGATGACTCGAGTGCATAACAGTCTGGCACATGGAAAAAGAAGGAAGTCAAAGCGGATGCGCTGTCGCGTAGATGAAACAGTGGAGCACTATTCGATGCACCTGGCAGAAATGCATTTTTCCATGCGCCGGAGAGGACCCTATAAATCCGCGTGCATCCTATCAGCTCGAACCGGTGTTCACGCGATCGATCCGTGTGCCCGTGGACAGCGAGACCCGTGTTTAATACGCTTCAACGCAGCGCGATCGGCCGACGGGAGGAGGATCGCCTACGGTCCCCTCTTCTTTTTCTCGGTCAATTTTCATTTTCGCGAGCCGCATGATGTCGATTGTGTGAATGCCACGCTTCGAGGGGCCACGAGCGCCATATTGGACGCGACACGTTCGCAGGGTGGCCAGGACGAATCGGGGAACCTCTTAGATGATGAACGAAATGTCTTAGAAGAATGTTTACTTGTCCTTTGTTTCTGGTATTCAATTTTTTTGGATTTTCGTTGCTAGACATGGTTCGTCGATGGTAGACGTGTTTTCCGTTAGTTACTTTAATCCGAGACGTTTCAACGATCATTTCTAACAGTGTACTGGCGTACACTGTGGTATAGTTTCAAAGGAACTTTGCATAACACGCGCTCGAACGGGAATCTTAGAGCGAGCTTGAACATTGCGATCATCCTAGGATATCTGTTCTCTCTTATTTTTTCTCCTTTTCATTTTTTTCTCTTTTTTTTCGTGGGTACAAGCTGATGGCCGCGCACGATACTAATGTCTCTTTTGTGTCGTGTAACGCTATGTTAGTAGAGAATGAATACGTCAACGTCGAAGCAGGGGAGGCGTGTCTCTTTAATATCCTCTGTTCCCGCGCGTTAGGTTCTCGCGAACGACAAAGACGTCGGCGATAATGGAAAAATCCAGTACAGCATCAAGGGCGGCAGAAGCAAGGGCAAGTTCAGGATCCATCCTACCACTGGGATGGTGTATTCGCAACGGGGCTTTGAAGCCGGACAGGAATACGAAATGATGGTGAGTGGATTGTAATTCACGGATTTGTCTAGGTAAATCGGGTCTCCGTCACTGTCTACCTTCACGAGGACGATGACGTATTATGGATCGTTCTCCGTCTATCTCTAGGAACTCTAGCAGCTACAATCTTAAGTATCGAATTAACTACAATTACTAATTAACCCCTTGTTCTATGATTTCTTCCTAAACTGTGATCAATCTAACTACTCTGTTATTAACGATGTATTGAAACTAAGAGAAAATTCCAGTTTTATTCTCTGTCAACCTGTGCTTTAAGATATAATCAATATCAACAAAGGAATAACATGCAATTTGCCTTCAAACAAATTGAATAATGTTTATGTTTGTTAAATTCTGTTTGAAATCTTCACCGCGAGTCTGGTACGATATTATAGGGCAAGTTGATTAATATAAAATAAATCTTTAGCAAAACCAGCTTGTGAAATGTTCAGAAAAATATTAGAGTCATTTCGAAGACAATTTTAGGAACGAGCAATTAAATCTTCCAAACGCACAGCTATGATTCTACGAGTACTCCTATGTCCATGATTCACGGTCGATCTGGAGCAGCATCTTTGATACAATTTAAGTTCCAGTTTAACTTACCCGCCGGGTCACGGTTCTGTCTGTCAGATAAGGGCGTCCGACAGCGGTGAACCGCAGCGCAGTCATCAAACACGGGTATCCGTGCAAGTTGTGGAGGTACCGAAGGAATCCGAGAACCCGCCGGTCTTCAGGACGAACAATCAAAGCGTCGAGGTCACGGAGAGCGACGAGGTCGGTTTCCTAGTCGCGCTGGTACAAGCCACGGACAAGGATGGCGACTCCCTGTGGTACGATATCCTCGGTAAGTAAACAGCGGAGTCAAGCCACTGCTCCATGGTGCTCTACCGTAACTGTGGCTTCATCGCAAAAGATGTCCATTACGGTAAATTAATAAATAAACCAATTTCGGTCGAACCACTTTCCTCCTATTCCATGTATTACATGCCACTTTCTCTAAACGTTGCAAATAAGCTCGAAGTTGTAGCTGATACTTTCCACTTGCTTATAAAATTAATCAAGGAACAGCGATCGAAAGCAGTTCGACTATTTTCCAAGGAGAACACAATTAGTGTCTACCTAATTATTGACACGAGAGTTAATTAGCGAGATATCGGACCGTCTCGAAGACACCCTCCCCCGTCGAAAAGTCTGAGGACACAGCTAACGTCTTCCAAGTGGGGCGGATGAAGTTAGCAAAGTTTTCGGGAGGGTGGATCCTAGACGGCGGTTTAAGTTCGCGCCGGCAAATGGCTGCGGCTGTTGGCCGTGCGCTGGTGTGTACATTTCTGTGATTAAAATTGTACGATTCCGAGGGAAGGTAAACGCCCGAGGGTCTCCCCCGGACCGAGGTCGCGTCGCTTCGGCGGCTGAAAGAATTTCCCGAGATTCCGCGAATCCGGATCGACCCGATTCGCGCAGAGCAATTTTCGCGAGAACGGAGGAGCGAGGGGAGAGAACAAAAAAAAAGTTGAACGCGATCGTCATGGTTCCAGACGGGGACAAGCGGGACGAATTCTTCATCGGCCGGGACAACGGGAACGTGCTGCTGGCGAAAAAGCTCGACTGGGAGACGCAGAACTTCTACAATCTCACGATCAGCGTGACGGATAGCGTGCACACGGCTGTGACGCAGCTGCTGGTCACGGTGATCGATATCAACGATCACAGGCCGGAGTTCACGGAGAACACCTATCACGTGGACATCTCGGAGAACGTGGAAAAAGGCGAGAAGATCCTGCAATTGCACGCAACCGACGAGGACGAGGACAAGAAGGTCTTTTACAGTCTCCACGCGGCCCAGAATCAGGCCTCGCTGGAGATCTTTCACGTGGACTCGGTGACTGGTGCCGTGACCTTGAACGAGGTCCTGGATCGAGAGACCATAGAGGAGCACGTGCTGACTGTAATGGTAAAGGACCAAGGAACGCCGGCTAAACGGAACTACGCCAGAGTGATAGTCACTGTTCACGATCACAACGACCATGCTCCCGAATTCATCAGCGAGATCATCCAAGGGAAAGTATTCGAGACGTCCCCGATCGGTGCCGCTGTGGTCCAAGTCTACGCGATAGATAGAGACAGAGGTGACAACGCTAAGATCACGTACACCATCACTTCTGGCAACGTGGGCAACATGTTCTCCATAGACCCAGAACTGGGCACTATCCGGGTAGCCCGTGAGCTCGATCTCAGTGTCTCCTCGGAGTATATATTACTGGTAAAGGCTACAGATCACGGTTCCCCGGCCTTAGCCAACACGGTGCCTGTACACGTGATGGTTACCATGGCAGACAACGCTCCCCCTAGGTTCATCCAGAAGGAACTCTCCGCGGAGATTTACGAGAACCAGCAGCTGGGCACCTACGTGAAGCACGTGGAAGCTAGAAGCACGTCTTCGTTGCAGTTTGAAATCGTCGACGGGAACAGTGACGATACGTTCTTCGTGAACCCTAGCACGGGCATCATAGTGATCAAGAATGAACTGGACTACGAGACGACCAAGTTTTATAACCTGACTGTGTCTGCCACCAACATGGCCGACGCAAAGGCGACCTGCAACGTGATCGTCCATGTTCTCGACAGGAACGACAACGCGCCCAGGTTTTTGCAAGCTACTTACAGCGGCGAGATCAGCGAGGGAGCTAGCATAGGGTCTTTAGTACTGACTAATACCAGTACACCTCTGGTGATCAAAGCCGAAGACGCGGATTCGGAATTAAATGCTCTTCTGAATTACGATATCGTCGAAGATCTGCCGCGAAAGTACTTCCACATCGACTCCAGTACCGGCGCAATTAGAACTGTAATGGTATTGGACCACGAAAGCATACCGAAATTCTCGTTCCACGTGAAAGTGTCCGATCTTGGGAAACCGAAGCTATTATCCGAGACCACTGCCAAGGTGATGATAGTCGTAACCGATGTTAACGACTGCCCACCTAAATTCCTCGAGAACGACTACAACACCACCCTCCTGCTGCCTACGTACAAAAATGTAGCAGTTGTCAAAGTTGCCGCCGTGGATCCCGACAGCTCCGAGGGTATTCCGCTGAGGTAAGCGAAAAGTCTTCTAATGAGATTCGCGGCAAGCTACAACGTTCGCCGCTCGAACGTCGATTAATCCATGCAGCGGGTAATGAATAGTACTCCATTCTTAGAGAATATATAATGAGATTTTTACGCTGCGATAGGCAGCGTGAAGCGGATTAGCAACACGCAACGACTACCGGTCGGCGAACGATTAATGGTGTATCAAGGGAATAATAATCGGGGGATTAATAGGAGACAATTATCGGGATAAATGATTTAAAAGTCCGCGAAATCTGCCGTTGCCACCAAACTGTGCGCCGTTGTCGGTCACCGGCCGGCCGGCCGTCCACGCGTTTATGCCGGTTTTAACAAGCTGATTCATATTTATGCCCTCGCGCCCGCGCCTTCATTAGCATTCATTTACCATTATAATCGTTGCATGAAATTTGTACGATCTCCTGCTGATACGCTGCTAGGCCGAGTTTTTCCCGTCCGCCGGAAGAAAATTCCTGGCCACTTATTCCGTCGGGGTGGCTGGACATTTGCATAGGTGTTCCGCGCACCCCCCCGTTTTTTCTTCGCAAATTGTTTCGTTCTGGCCGGGACGTCGACCGTTCGAGACACGATGGAATTAGCGGCGTCTATATTAATATCAATGGTTTCCCTCAACGAATATTTCTCGCGCGTACACACGATGCATCCCGTTCAGCATTAATACGCTCGCTAGCGACGTCACGTATTTGGGACAACCGTAGTCTTTGCACTCCTCGCGAAGGAAATGAAATTTTTTCTATAGGGGCTGTAATTTCAGGTTATAAAATTCGTCATTACGCTTAAGAGCTGAATGGCCACTTTTTGGTTTCGTTTTTGTAATCTGTCATTTAGAGGATTCGTTGGATTTAATAGAATATTGGAACCGGGAAGCTCATGAACGTATCAAATTATAACCGGCCGAGTCTATACACGGCCGTCCGTTGTTGAAATTTATTTTACAAATCGACCGTGTAATTGTATCCTGCGAAATGCACTTCCACGGACGATAAAAGATCCAGTTAATGGTGTCGGGCGCGTAGCGTGTCCTCCGTCCCGGTTCCACCCCTTTTCTTCAGGATCCTTTTCTCCGCAGGTATGATATTATCGACGGGAACAAGGGACACACTTTCGACATAGACGGCCAGACCGGCGTCATCACGGTTTATAACCCGGAACGCATGAAGAAAAGTTACCTCCTGCGGGTCCGTGTCTCCGACGGGAAGTACTCGAGCGTCGCCCAGGTGAACGTGATGGTCGAGAAGTCAGAGAATTCCGGGCTGGTGTTCCAGAAGGACGTCTACGAGGGAACGATCCCGGAGAACTCGACGAGGATCACGACCGTCGCGGTCGTGAACGTTCTCGGTAGCGCGCTGAACGAGCACATTGTCTTCAGTATACTGAACCCGACGGACATGTTTGTAATTGGATCGACGTCCGGCGCGATCCGCACTACCGGGATTAGATTCGACCGTGAAGTTTGCGACCATTACGAGCTGATCGTGGAGGCGAAGAGCCAGATGCCGGACAGGGAGAAGCCGAGGGTGGCGCACGTGATCGTCAACGTCACCATACAGGACATCAACGACAATTGCCCGATGTTCGTCAATCTACCATACTACGCGGTCGTCTCCGTCAATGCTCAGAAGGGCGACGTTATTACCAAGGCGAGTAGACTTTGCATATTCCATCGCGGCAGTAAAGATTAACTACTACGGTCACCTATGACCGGCGCTTCGTCCTCGAAACAATTGCAATATGTAAAATGATTCGTGTCGAATAGAAATGTTTGGTAGCTGGGTGACTAGATAACTTAACAATTTTCATGCCGAATAATTAACCCCCGACCTATGATTTCTGTTTACATTATGATCGATACACCAACTTTCTCGTTACTAATTCGTTGAGAACAAGAGAAACATTCTGATTATATTATATCTATGTTTGCTCTAGAGTATAATAATTCATAAGGGGAGAATAATATTTAATTTTAAATCAAAGGAATCGAGTAATGTTTGTTAAATTCCGTTTTAAACCTTCGCCACGAGTCTCGCATATTGTAAGGCAAGCGGTTAATGATTATTCCTATTTGTCTTTAGTACCAAAGAACAAGCGATAGGATGAAACGTTCAAGATTCCTTTGGCTACCTGTTAAAGGAACTCGAAAGACTCGAAATGCAGTGGTTAACAGACAATCTATCTAATTTCTGATTCATTTCTCTTTCCTATGAATCTCAAGAATAGAATCTATATCAGAGTCCAATTAAAAAAATGGCACTTTCGCTTCTGCCTGATACAGGTGCACGCGATAGACATGGACAGCGGCGACAACGGCGAGGTCCGGTACGAATTGAAGAAGGGTCACGGGGAATTGTTCAAAGTCAGCCGGAAAACTGGCGAGATCTCGCTGAAGCAGAACCTGGAGGGCCATAACCGGGAGTATCAGTTGACGATCGCCGCGTACGACGGCGGTAAGTGCATCGATCCCGGCTGATCCATGGCCGGACCCGGTCCGAGCGATATTCGACGAGCTTTGAACATTATTTCAGGCATTACACCTTGCTCGATCGAGGTGCCGGTGAACGTGAAGGTGATAGATCGCTCGATGCCGGTGTTCGACAAGCAATTTTACACAGACAGCGTGCTGGAAAGTATCGAGGTGCACTCGCCGCTCGCTCTGTCCATACAAGCTGAGTCACCCCTGAATCGGAAACTCATATACAGCATCACGAAGGGGAACGATTTCGAGGAGTTCGCCCTCGACTTCAACACAGGTGAGTGTTCGCCGGAAACGTTCGTCGCTCGCGCCGCTTAAAAATCGAACGTCGAAACCGGCGAATCGAATTAAACGCACGGTTCTAGAATCCCTTCCGCCGCGGTCGAAACGGCGCAGCCCTCAGCGACGCGCGCGTCGAAACGTTTGGAAAAGGCTAACGAGTTTCCCAGGTCGAGAATATCCCTTTTTCCTCCTTTTTGTTTCTTTACATTCTGCGACTTCGCGTTGTCGTTCTTGAACGTTCGTACAGGATGGATTGCTCGAAGGTACAATATCCTCGAACTGGTTACCGAAGAACTGTAATAGCAACTTGAAATCTTTTGGAACTATCGGAAACTATAAATCCCTTATTTCAAAGATACCAAATTGTTTTCTCGCAACGCCTCGTAGAGAATTTACCAGAAAATCAGTATTCCCATTCTCACCTACCAAAAACGTATTCTTTTATATTCCTCCCTTGAAAAGTTCCTTTTATTCGTTCCCGTCGTTGGGAACAACGGGGATATTCTACGTTTCAAATACAGAGCAGATCTATCCCGAACCCGTGCTTCTCTTTCCAAAAGAGGAATACTCGCCACACGTTTCGCCGGTAGTGTCACGAACGTGTGTTACATTTGGCCACGCGCGATCGAAGGGTTGCTGCATCCAGTCCCGAGCCGAGCGTCCCCTCCCGCCGAAGATTTTCGCTCGGCCGCGGGACTGACAAGTGACTTTTTCACGCTGCCGGGTTAACCACGCGCCGAAGCGCATTCCATTCCGACGAATGATTATCGGTTTTCCCTGTACCATGGTATTCGGTGACTAAATTCTCTAATCAAGTAAACGGTGTAGTGGTGAGACAGTAGCAAAATGGGGATGTTGGAATGTGTCGCACGTAACACAATGCTGCGGATCTACGATACACCGACGAATTGGTTCAGCGACGATCGATCGCGAGTACCTTTTCCAGGGTCGGATAATAATTGTTCGAATAATAAAACACCGTTGCTCGTGTACGTATATAATTACGTTCAACGATATTTCGCCTACTATCGAAAAGTGAACCAGTAGACGTCGGTCCTCCTCTCTT